GACAGAACCACTCTCCAGCGTCCCTCAGAACAGGACAGTGCTAGCTAGTGGGGCTTCCTCAGGTCACTGCACCCGAGAGAATAACAGAATGACTGGGAGTTTCCAGGAGGCCATGTGTCTACTTTCAAGAGCCTTCCCTTTCCTGAAATAGGCTTTTGCCCGCCCTAGAATTGTCATATCGAAAGTCTTTCCTTCATCAGAGCAAAGGAGGGCGGAGGCTGTGTGAGAGGCTGGTTCTGAGCTAATAGAACCTCAGCTAAAATTAAAAGAAAAGGAAAATTCATTCTTTATGCAGCTTTCTGAGTTTTGACCACTTAAAAAGTCAGCAACTCAATGACAATCTGTCATCCATCCATCTAGCATCATCTATCTATCCATCCATCTATCTATCTATCTATCTATCTATCTATCTATCATCTATCTATCTATATTAATCTATCATCTACCTATCTACCTATCTATCAACCTATGTATCTATCATCTATCTATCATCTATCTATATTAATCTATCATCTACCTATCTACCTATCTAGCAATCTCTATATCTATCATCTATCTATATTAATCTATCATCTACCTATCTATCAATCTATATATCTATCATCTATCTGTCTACCTATCATCTATCCATCCATCCATCCATTCTATCAATCATCTATAAACTTACCTACCAGTCTATCATCTACCAACATTATCTATCTATCCATCTATCCACCCACCCACCCACCACCCATCCATCCATCCATCATCTATCTATCTATCTATCTATCTATCTATCTATCATCTACCATCTATCTATCATCTATCATCTATCTATCTATCTATCTATCTATCTATCTATCTATCTATCTATCTATCTATCATCTATCATATGTCTGTCTATAATCGATCTACATTATCTATTGATCATCTACATTTTTAATCTATTATCTACCTACATTATCTATCACCTATCCATCTAGCATCATCTATCTATCTATCTATCTATCTATCTATCTATCTATCTATCTATCATCTATCTATCTATCTATCTATCTATCTACGCATCCATCCATCTGTCCGTCTGTCCACCCATACTTCTGTCCACGTCTCTGTGTTATCTATCTACCTACCTATCTCTCTACCATCTGTTTATCTTATTTCTTCCTTTTAAAATACACTTCTCTTTCACATCCACAGGTCTATGTCCTACTGCTCAAGCTATCTCCAGAAGGTTCTATGAGTCAGAGCCACATAACTCCTTCCAGGGACCACTGAGTACCCTCAACTCAGGTCACCCCAAAGTACTGGTGCTCTTGGTGCTGCCCCTTCTGGATGAGTGAGTGTGTGTAGGTGACTGTCATTCTCTGACCCTCATTTAATCCTCTGCAAACTGAACTTAGTAATTCTGCCTTACAAGCCTCATAGTGACATGCCTGAGTAAGGCAGAATGGAAAGGGTGGGGAGGTATCTGGAGCAGAAGGGGGCTCAGCTTGTGCAGTGTGTGTTCAATTATGTGTGCGTGCGTGAATTCACACATGTAGCAAAGCTGTGACCCTTGCTGTGGATGTCCTGCACTGGAGGTCTGAGGAGACTGTGAGCTGGGCAGTCCTAGCCTCAAGCCTTCAGTATCCCAGGGATGGCCACTGTCCTCCTGGGAGTGGGGAAAGGGCTCCGGAGTGGTGGGTGCAGGAGGGGTCCTGACTGTGACTGACTACATGCCTGGCTGTAACTATGGGGTGGCAGCTGCCATCAGGGGCAGCCTCCTGGCTGTACAGCAAGATGCTCAGAGGACCAGAAGGGCAGATTCATGGGGGGCAGCCCCTAGTTTGAACACAACTGTGTGATTTCTTATGACTGCAGATGGTGGGCTTCCTAGAGCAGAGTCAGCTCTGAGCTGGAGACCACACTGTTTCGAGAGTTCTGCAAACAGGGCTCTGTGTCTAGCAGATACGTCTGTTCCTATGTGTATGGAGAGTTCAGGCTGGATTCATCTGAGCTGCTCATCATGCCCATGAGGCAGGCATGCTCCTTTCCACCCCAGAAGAGACTTGGGGTCTTGGAAGGAAGCAAGGACTTGCCAACGGCACCTGATGGTCAACCACAATGTGACCTTGACCCCAGATCCTACTTATCCCTCTCCCCTCTCTCCTAAAGCAGCTCTCTTCTTTCTGATTTTCTGGACCCCTCATTGCCACACATGCATGTTGCTGCCTCTTCTCAGTAGAACTGGTCTGTCACTTCCTCCAGTCAGCTGCTGACCTTAGTGTCTGGGATCAGAGAGGACAGCCACCTACACACACTCATCTACCCAGAAGGGGAAACCCAAGACCACCAGTACTTTGGGGTGGTCTGAGCTGAGGATACTCAGTAGTCTCTGGAAGGAGTTATGTGGCTCTGATTCATGGAACCTTCTGGAGGTAACTTTAGCAGTAGGACATAGACCTGAGGATGTGAAAGAGAAGCATATTTTAAAAGGAAGAAATAAGATAAATGGATGATAGAGAGATGGCTGAGTAGAGAGATAACAGGTGTGGATGGATAGATAATGTAGGTAGGTAGGTGAGTAGATAGATGATAGATGATAGATAGATGATAGATAGATAGATAGATAGATAGATAGATAGATAGATAGATAGACAGACTGAAGGGGGATAGCAGTGCAGAAGAGAGGCTACGGACTTCCTGTGAGCTCTACCTGGCCTGTGGCTTCAAAAGCGCTTGGTCTCTGCCACCGTGGAGTGGACAGTGGTCCTGGCTCTCTCTCATTCAAATGAGGGGGCCACCCTCATCAAAAGCCACATGGCGAGGAGCTCTGGGCAAATGGGCACTGTTGACTTTCACGGTGTGTGGAAAGCCAGCATCTGGGGAAAACCCACTGTTTACATTCTGCTGTTTTCCTCAAGTGAAAACGTTTTCTACAAAAGCCCAAGAAATCAGAAAAAAAGGAATTTAACTTAAAAAAGGCAATAAAATTTAACATCTGAAGTTGGACACTGACTGATAGGCTAGTTTCAACCTCTTTGAACCAGGGAACGGGTGGAACAAAGCCATCCGAGGGAGACTTAGATTTAAACAGACCGGTTTCCGCTTTAGCTGTCTAAGGGTCTTTTTTTTTCTTCTTTTTTTTTAAAGGGATATAAATTCCAACCATGTTTTGTGTGAAGGGTCTCGGTGCAGACTGACATTGTGAGTGTCAGCCCCAGATCACTTTAATCAGAGAGTGGATATGCATGATAAAACGGATAAGGGACTTTAATCAAAAAATCCGCTGGCCTGGAAACGTGACGCACTCCGCCAAACACACTCCATCCCACTTTTCTTGTGCCACTGCCAAGATTCTATTTCATGAATATGCATCGGACATGATATTACATTAAAATGTGACATTGGTGTATGGGGTGGAGGATTTAGAATCACTCAATATGTGTGTGCGTATCTATGCACACATACATGCCCCCACACATGCAAACACGTGTGCATACCTTTACAGATCTAGACTGTTCTGCAAAGTTTTTGTCAATTGGATGTTGACGTCGTGAGATGATTTTTCCCTTGACGTATCCTTGGGTGCTGAATATTAGATTTCTAACTTGTTCCATCCCTGTAAGAAATCAACAGTGACAGTAGGCAGGGGTTTTGCTTCAACTCTACCCAGGAATGCCCTGTGCCATTTCCAGCATGGGGTCACATCTTTCCATGCATAATGTTCGTCAGGGAGAGGGCACAGGCTGCTGAAACCGTGGTTTGTTTCAAGCTTAAGGAATTAATTCCAAACGCAGTGAAGAGGCAGCTGTGTGCCTTTCCCGTTCCAGCGGCATGGAGTTTGCCTTAGAAACAGGGGCAGGGGACCATGGTGGACCTGCCCTCAGCTGCCTTCCTGAGATGAAGCTCTGGGGTTGGTTCCTCCATACCCTGGAGGTCCAGCAAACCTGTGGGCTATCTGCCTGCAGCCCTGTCCTGTCTTCCTGTCCTGTCTGCCATGTCCTGTCTGCCCTGCCTTGTCCTGTCCTGTCCTGTTCTATCTGCCCTGTCCTGTCCTGACCTGTCCTGACCTGTCCTGACCTGTTGCACAGGAAACTGTCCCCCAGGGAAGGGATCTGCTTAACATTACCTGGAAGTACAAGTACGGAAAGGTAGGTAGACGATGGACGCCAAGTGTGCCCTGTGATGCCTGCTCTTAGGTCTCTTCACATCTCCAGCTCTGCTTCCTCATCTGTAAACTGAGGAGGGGGTTCTAGATGAGCTGACCCAGATCCCCTGTACGCCTTATGAAATGGGACCTAAATGCCCTGCCTAACCTCCGTCCTACTTCTTGCTTTCACACTGAAAACAGAGCACACAGGCTTCAAGGAGGATGGTTTGAAGCCTCCACTGCTCACGCTCTGTCCTGCCCTGTCCTGTCCTGTCCTGTCTTGTTCTATCTGCCCTGTTCTGTCCTGTTCTGACCTGTCCTGTCCTGTCCTATCTGCCCTGTTTTGTCCTATCCTGACCTGTCCTGACCTATCCTGTCCTGCCCTGTCCTCTCCTGTCTTGTCCTGTTCTGTCCTGACCTGTCCGTGTCTGCCCTGTCCTGTCCTGACCTGTCCTGTCCTGTCTGTCTGCCCTGTCCTGTCCTGTTCTGTCCTGACCTGTTCTATCTTCTCCCTCCCCTTCTTTTTCCTTCCCTCTCCTTTGTCTCTCCCCTCCTCTCCTCCCTCTTCTTCGTCCCATCCCTCCCCTTCCTCTGCTCCCTCCCTCCCCTCCCTCCCCTCCCTCCCCTCTCCTCCTCTTCTCTCTTCCCTTCCTCTCCTCCCCTTTCCCCTCCCTCCCCCTCCCTCCCTCCCCCTCTCCTCTCCTCCCCACCCCTCTCTTCTGTTCCTTTCCTGTTGACTTTTCCCCTCTGTGGAAACAGAGGATGAAGATTTTGGAATTTATTGGACATCTTACCATGGTATGTAGAGCAGATGGCTTGTGGAACACATGTGCTTTGTGCAGATTAAAGATGAACGTACTGTGAGATCTTGTTTGATGTCTTGCAGAGTCTCTCCCATGGAAGGAAGAACTTGGATGGTGTCTGGCACACATGGATCCCTCTGGAGGCATCAGGGGACAGAAGACTCCATGGTGCTGTTTGCTTAGAAGTGGGTTGGTGTTTTTGACTCCCAACAGGGCTAGGTGGCTCTGGCATCCCTCCTGGGATACTGGTGGCAAATGGCTAGAGCTGATATTTGCCCAACATTTCAACTGTAAGGACAGTTGCCCGCACTGAGGATGCTCCTGGGCAGTAGTCAGGGACACTCTACCCATAAAAATCCCTTTCACGTAGACTGGACCTGCAGGTGCATAGTGGACTGCACGGTGTCCTTCCCCACTGCAGGTCATGTCCACCCAGAACCTCAGAGTATGGCCTTCCATGGAAATGGGGTCATCACAGATGTCATGGTTTCACTCATCCTGGATTTAGGGGATCTTATAGGAGATACGGGGAAAAGTCATCCTGAGAGGATGAGGCCAGACTGCAGATGCAGCATGTGACCAGGAACACCTGGTCGCCAGGCTCTGCAAGAAGGAAGGCACTGTCCCAGAGCCTTCTCAGGGAGTGTGTCCCACTGACCCTTGCTCTGGTCTTCTAGGCAACAGAAATAAGCCATGTATCAAGCCAGGCACACTGGGACACAGTCCAGCTACTGATGCAGGCTCCAGAGTGAAAGGAGTCATAGGCCCTAGGCATCAGTGCCCACTCTGTTCTGGGCTGTGGTGGATGGGGTGGTGAACTGTGGTCCTGGCCACAGCCATGATGCTCAGCTCGGTAGGGTCACTGAGCCACTGTGCCTTAGAGTGTTCCCAGGGGAAGACAGAAGAGACAGAAGGGGAACTAGACCCAGCTGTGGACCACAAACCCAAGCCAGTTGTTACCCCAGGGGAGGAGATGGCTTGGCCAAGCCTCCATCACAGCATGGCACACAGAGTCACACCCTCCTTCTTCCCACAGGCTGGGAAGCGGGGCCCAGAGGTCAGAGCCTGGGTCTGAACCTTGGAGTCACTCGGGTGTTTGACTTGCCTCAGATGCTCTTCTGGTTGTGGGGCTGGTGGCTGTGGACTGGAAGACCTCGGAGGACAAACATATGGGGCCAAAGGTCCAGATGGTGCGGCTACAGGTCACCTTCTGGCTGGTATGGCTTTGTTAAAACCTCTGGGACCTTTTTTTAGATTGTTCTAGATCAGAAACTTTTAAAATTCAAATGCCACGTGTAATGTTTAATTCAGGGCCCTGACCACACCATCCTGTCAAGATTCGTGTCTTAAGAGCCTTGGGAATGAAAGGTCCAATTAAGACCACTGTGGGGACCACATGGACATTGTGGGGTGGGGTGTGGGGTCACACAGACAGTGTGGGGTGGGTTGTGGGGTCACACAGACAGTGTGGGGTAGGGGAATGTCTAGCTGACTAGCACTTGGTTGCCCCTCCATTCCTCTGAGTCTCATTTGAAAAATGTGTGCAAAAATTATGCAATACAGGGTTTGGGGGAGATGGAATTAGGGACAATGACTTGGATAGTCTAGGAAACTTTGGACTGTACCGACATTGGGATCTTTTGGAGCTAATGTCCTCCCCCCTCTCCCTTCTTGTCCCTCGTCTTTCTTATATCCATCCATGAGCTGTTGTGGCTCAACATCCACTTCCCCTACAAAATTCTGTGCTGCTAGGGTCAGATGGAATAGGCATCATTGTGGCTACGAGGCTTAAAAAACCATTGACAGTTAATAGAAATTGATCAAAGTATGTTCTCCATGTCGATATTCCCAAATTGCTTCCCTATAATACTAAAATTGAGAAATCTTGAGTCCTCTAGAGTGATTGGATGACTTCCATTGACATCAGGATGACAGACCAGTGGAGTTTGCATCCAGGGATCAAGGAGCAAAGCCTCTGAGTTGTCCTTAGGAATCTGTTGGCATGAAGACATGCTTCTCCTTGGTGTGGACTGCGTTTTGGAGGAACTCTCTCTTAATTGCTCCCCAAATTGCTGTTTATTTTAAAAATTATTTTTATTTATTTTGTTTATTTATGTATTATTTATTTATTTGTTATTTATACCTATGTGTGTGTGTATGTGTGTGTGTGTGTGTGTGTGTGTGTGTGTGTGAAGTCAGAGGACAACTCTCGAGAGTCAAGTCTCCTACCATGTGGGTTTCAAGAATTGAACCCAAGTCACCAGCCTTGGCAGAAGGAACCTCTATTTGCCGAGCCATCCTGCTGGCCCCAAATGACTGTTTCTCATGAGCCTCAACAATAGTTCGAAAATAAACAAGTGAGGCACTGCGGTGCAGGTGGAGCATGTTTTAGCTGAAATTCTTCGGACTAAAGAGTTTTGCATTTCAGATATCTTAAGGTTTCGGAATATTTGCATAATGAGCTACCTTGGGGGATGGAGCCCATGTTCAAACACAAAACTCATTTGCTTCCTTCATACCTTCCACACATAAGCTGAGGATATTTCATGCCGTGTTTTAGGAATTCTGCATTGAAACACAGCTTGCATATATTGGACCGCTAGCCTGTGGGATCACATTAGGGCTCAGGAGCTTTGTAATTTGGAGAATTTCAGACTTCAGAGTGTGGTATTAGACATTCTGCCACTGTTCCCATGATGCACTGGCTGGTTGCGGGAGAGAGGAGATTTGACCCAGTCACATAGTGAGAGCTGAGTCATTGAGGCAGCCTGGTGCCAAGGACAGAGCCAGGACAAACTACAAGACATCTCAAGGCTGTGCTGCTTTGACAAGCCACATTCTACTCTGGGCTTTGGTGTACTCTGGATCGTGGAAAGTTTGAGAGGCTCAAAGTAGACTCTTCGTAGGGAAAATGTCCTAAACCATTAGAGAGCTAGGTTGAGGGCTAATGTGATTTTCTGCCATTTAGTAAACAATCTAGATACTTCCACTCACTAATGAAAACAGTGCTTTCCAGAGAAGTTTCTACAATCTTAAATAAACAGTTTCTTGGAAAAGTGCCACATGCTATAAATTTAGCTCAAACTTGACAACCTGGATGGTGACAGGGCACTGTGCCCATATATGGTCACAGGGGGTTTAAAATGATTCTGGGTCCAGAGTGCCACTGTCTGGTTCAGAGTCTTGTGAATCCTGTGGCCTGTCTTCAGTGATGGTCATCAGGGAAGGCAGCTGCCCAAGGACAGGGGCATCTTCTCTTCAGCCGTCTTTATCCCAGGGACTGACTTCAGACCCTGGGCTCAGCACCGCAGCAGGAGGGAGGGCTCCGCCAGTGTCTCTGACATGCTCCATGATAATGACTCCTTCTGCATGGGCTTATGTCAGTCATGTTGATGCCTCATACTGCCTTAGAGTGTGTCATGTTCCATTATTCTAGAATTTGTAAGACACAGAATACTGGCAAGAGGTTGGGACGTGTGAGAAAAAGTAACCCCAGCTCCAGGGCCCCTGCTTTCCTTATCTGCTGGCCCCTGCTTCAGCTGGTCACCTCCCCATGACCCCGTGTTATCAACCAGGCTAGCCGGGTCAGAGATTGCTCAGACATGCCGGGCACACTGTGACAGGGCTGGCCCAGAGCCTCTGACTTGCAGAAATGGACAGTGTTTGAAAGCGGTATTGTATGGGGACAAATGAACCAAAACAACTCAGTAGTTGGACTTTTTTCATTCCCTTTTTTTCTCTCTCTCTCTCTCTCTCTCTCTCTCTCTCTCTCTCTCTCTCTCGCTTTGGTTTTATATGTTTTGAGGTCTAATAAATACAGGCACTGTGTAAATATTCTTTACTGCTTGGGTCACGAACTGGCCTCCCTCCCTCCCCCCACCTCCCTCCCTCCCTCTTCCCCTTCCTTCCTTCCTTCCTTCCTTCTTTCCTTCCCCTTCCTTCCTTTCTTCCTTCCTTCCCCTTCCGTCCTTTCTTCCCCTTCCTTCCCCTTCCGTTTCCTTCCTTCCTTCCTTCCTTCCTTCCTTCCTTCCTTCCTTCCCCTTCCTGACAGGCACTTGCTGTGTAGCCCAGGCTAACCTTTATTTTCTGCCTCTGTCTCCCGAGCACTGAGATGACGGTGTATACCACCCTTCCCAGCCAGTTTTTCTTGTGCGTGTGTGGATTCTGTTTTATTGCTTTGGCACTATGTATATTTGTGGTGGACAGAGACATGAAAGAGAGGTACAAATATCAATTCTCTTTTGTAGCCCAGAGCCAATTGTTTAGTGTGAGTTTTGATGCGTGTAAGACGGTGTAGATACAGAAGACCACTCACAGAGAGGATGGTGTTTATAATCAAGTTGGCTCTAAGAATAAAGAGTTGTTGATTTAAATGTATAGGTTAGAAGAAAAGCGTGCTTAATAGGAGGCCTGCCCTTTGTAAATTTTCAGTGTGTTCGACAGTATTAAGCACAGTGCTGTTCAGCAGATCTCCAGGACTCACTCCTCTTTGAGGGTTGAAACTTTGTACCATTGATTAACAGCTCCCAGGTCCCCCACCCCCACCCCCAGGCAGCTGTCATTCTACCCTTTGCTCTTCAGAGTTTGACTAATTTAGATATCCATTGTACGTTAGTGACAGGCTTAGTCAGTCAGCACCATGTCCCCAAGCCTCATCCATGTTGTTGCAAACAGCAGGGCTTCCTTTTTAATGGCTGACTAATACTCCACTGTGTGTGCATACTGCATCGCCTTTCTCCTTCGGACCGCCCTGGGTATTTAGGCTGTTCCCACACTGGCTGTCATGAACAGTGCTTTGGTAAGGCACGTGGCAGGGCAGGTGCCTCTTGGAGGTTCTGATTTAAATTCTTTTGGATTTGTATCAGAAATGGGGTTGCTGCATCATGCAGTAATTCTATTTTTTTGAGGGAGAGGGAAAGTCCATACAGTGTCCAAACCACTTGTTCTGTTTTGAGCTAGGGTGTCATGTAGCCTGGCCTGGGCTTGAACTCATGATCCTCTGCTCCTACTTCCAGAGCACTGGGATTATAGATGTGCTTCACCATAATCAGTTCCATTTTTGTTTTTAAAGAGAAAAAGCTGGGCTTGTGATAGATTCCTAAAGTTTCAATGCTGAGGCAGGAGGATTGCTGCAGGTTTGAGGCTAGTATGTGCTATATAGCAGTTCAAGGTCAGTTTGGGATTCACAGTGAAATGAATAAAACAATACAAGCAAGAGGGGAAAACAAAGGGACCCAGCGCTTTGGTGCTCAGCCGGAGACTTGGGGGCCGTGCTGTTCCGGAGGCTACGTCAGGTCTAGGGACCAGTGTTCAGAGCCTCAGGCACTCACTGAACACAGAGAACACCCTTTAAATAGACCAGTGACTGTATTTTAGCAGCTTCCCTGAAAGCAGAGGTCATTAGCGTGGCGGTGGCTCTGGGGCCAGTCCTGGATGGGTTTCGAGAGAGTGAAGATGTGCTGGAGAGATGGCTCAGTGTTAAGAGCACCAGCTGCTCTTACAGAGGACTTGGGTTCGATTCCTAGCACCCACATGACAGCTAATAATCATCCAGCCCGTAAATCAGTTCCTGGGGATCTGAAGTCCACTTCTGGTGCACTTACATACGGCAGGCAAAACATTCACACCTATAAAAAAATAAAATTTAAAAAAGAATGAAGTCAAGTGACTTATTGGTTTGTAAAACCATCAACCCCACTAAGTTTTAGCCCTAGAGAAGCACAAATTATTCATTCTTTGTCAGCACAAAGAGACTCTGGAGAAAGATGATGTACAGGGGAGGTGGTTCTGAATGCCACATGTCAAGCATCCTTGTCCTCCTATGTGCCTCCCACCACAATGCCCTGACTCACCTCAGCCTATAAACAACAGAGCCAGCCAACCGTGAAAGCAAACCATGAGCCAAAACTTTTCCTCTTTATAAGTTGCTGGCTTCAGGCATTTTATCATAGACAGCTAACAAGTTCCTTAACTTTCTTTAGCCTCGTTTGCTCTACTAGAAAGCAAGATTCTGCATAGGACTAAAGAGATAATGGGTGCACAGCCTTAGTAGGACTTGGATTGGTTTGCATACAAGTTGCTCATGTGTTGCATAGGACTGTCCTCTGACAGACAGACCGTGGATAGGTGCCATCTTCCCAAGCTTGGTTGCACCCACTTGCCTGCTTGTTGATTGTAATACTTGGCAAGGAAGAAGGGCAGGGAGAGTCACAGGACC